AAAAAAAAAAAAAAACAATTTCTTTTTTTTTATTTTGCTTCAACCAAGTATCTTCAACAATAAAAGAAAAGAACATTTACTGATGTACTCAAAAAATTATTAACAACAGCCGGAAAAAAAAAAACCCTCTAAAAATTCAAACAACTTTTTAATTTTCAATGCAGCTATTTGTAGGCATCTTTAAATGTCCTTCTGTTTTATTCTCAGCTTCCTTAAAGAAAAAAATAACATTCAATAAAACTGTAAGACCTGGAAGAAAAAACAGAATGGATTTGATTATTAGAGGTGCAGAAACTATTACTGCCCTACCCGATAATGATGCAACAAGATAAAAGGTAAAGAATAACGACGACTACAACAGCAGCAAATAATTGAAAGAAAAATACCTAATTATACAGTTGTGGGTAATGAAAACAAATTGTAAAAGATACCATAATACTGAAGTGTTAAAAAGTGTTTTATCAGACAAAAATCAGTCTTTTCCGGTTAATTTTTTTTTATATATACAACCCAATATATTTATAACTGTGTAATAACAAAATATTACTTATTGTTGATGTGCGGTATCCCTTTCTTCTGCATCTACAATTACATCGTTTTATGACTTCTTCACCAAACAACAAAACGCCATCTCGCGCAGCAGTCTTAAAAACTTCCTTAACAAATTATCCCCAAAAACAAACAGCCCCAAATAACACTGAGTCTTTTTTTCTCTTATTTTCCTTTTCGTTTTCATTCTTTCTTTCCTGTTGTTATTATTATTACTGTTTTTGTTGTTGTTGCTGTTGTCTTGCTGTTTTTCTTACAAGGGAGATAGAACGATTATTTGGTAGAAGATAAAAGTGGAAGAGTATGAAAGAAGACCAGAAGTAATGTTATCTCATTTTAGACAACGACAACTACAATAACAGGATTATTCGAAACAGCACCAGCGGCAGCGACAGAAGCAGTAGTAAGTAGCAACAGCAACAACAACAAAGATAAAAGGAAAAAAAACTAGAAGCAAAAGAAAAGAATCTTTTTTCTTTTCCGTTTTTTTTCTCCTCTCCTCGTTTCTTTAAAATATTAAATCCAAAAAAGATTGTGGATCAAAGTTGAAGGATATATCCGTAGGGAGGCAACCAACAGGCGTTTGTAATTGCTGCTTAACATCAATTATTTTCCCCTTCAAACAATCGGCCAACTATGTCGCGGCAACAGCCAATCATTTTATTGATTGGGCGTGGTTTAGACGCATTTTCTATGCTAGCAGCTACAGTAAGTACTTGGTGCAACAAAACCCTTGCGGCAGCAAAAGACACACAGATACACAGATTCGCAAACACACAAACACACACAAACACATACATACAAACACACACATACACACACATACAAACACTTCGAGTTTTTTAGTTTGGCGGCACTGAAATGCAGTCGTTTGACATTGAATCGTTGATCGGTACAACAACGGATCCAAAAGAAGAATCGAAGTCCGATGTTACTACTTCACGACAATCGGCAACCGTACAAACCACTGTTGAATCGATCCTGAAAGGTAACTATTTGCTGGATACAAAATCTGATCAATACGGTGGCACATCGGATTCGTCTAATGACTATCGTCTGTTACCGAATGTTTATGAATCCAAAAATTATTGTTCTTCGTCGT